ATGCTTGTTTGCCTGGCGTTGTTTTAGAGGAGCCAGGTGCCATTTTTCAGGGAGTCGAAGAGCACTGGCTCTCTCTGGGAGACTTGTAGGAATGCTTCTTTGAACTGCCTACAGCTAATTTCACTATGGAATTAACCTACCACTTTATCCTCCTGTGGCTTCCTTCTCAGGGGAGTGCCCCAGAAGTCTGGTGTGTTGTCTGCTTTGCTGTTGCAGAGGTTGGACAGAGGTTCTTGCAGCAGCTTGGAACGTTGGCGAGTGTTGGCTGAGCTGCCTTAGGCCCCCAGGCACCTCCATTTTCTTTTAATTCCATTTTTCCATGACCTTATTGAAGTCCTCTCAAATTAAGCAAATTGGTTACATATGTTGACTCAACCACCCAGATAAACACGACACAGTTATAAAATAGTTAAAATACTAGAAATCAACAAAATACCCTTCCAAACACACACATTTCCCCCCTCTCACTATATACTATGAAGTGGGGATGGGGGGAGCTTTGTTTTATCATCCTTTTTATATTTTCATATTTTTCCCCTAGCACTAGAAAGTTTGGGCTTTGGCTCATATATCAGTGAAGTAAAAGAAGTTTTACAAGAATGCAAGACCGTAGCATTAAAAAGAAGAAAGGCAAATTCTCGTTTGGAAAACCTGGGCATTCCTGAAGAAGAATTATTGAGACAGCAACAAGAATTATTTGCAAAAGTAAGTAATGTATTTTAATCTGATAACTTTTTGATAACTAAAACCATAATTTTCTGTCAACATATGTATCCAGACAATTCTCTCTTTAGCTGAATGTTTAATCATAGAGTCTAATTGTTTAAATCTGTCCAGTGTGACTCTGGTTTTTATAAAAATAAGTGTCTGCAACCTGTTTTCAAAAGAGCAACTCCCGAGAAACTACTCAGCTTTTACTTTGATGTTTTTGTTTTTCCAAAAAGAATGGCCCTTTGAAAGCATGAAAAGTATACCTAAACGCTCTTAAGTTATTGATGGGCTGGTGAAAAAATACTATATCAGTTTATGAAGAATGACATACAAGAAAAAATATAATTACCTTTGTAATTAAATTAAGTCTTCAATGCACCTTTAAAGCACTGAAATTCTACACACATGCACACACACACACACACACACACACACACATTTAAAGGGCTATGAGCAGAAAAAAAGGAGAAACCTTTTCCTTTCTTGCTTGCTAAAGTTTTAATACCAAGTCTGAAAAGTCAGTACCAAGGACTAGTGTCTGGCTATTTGGGGAGTTCGGGAGGCAAGGAACGGGGAGGAGGTAACAAGGCAATTTTTTCCCTCTTAAGTTCTGGGTCTTGTTTTACATGGTATAGCAGCTCTGAGTGAATAGAATGGGCAAGATTTTCATTAGGTGCCATAGTAACCATTAGAACTAGGACGTATCGTTTTAGATCATCTCCTGCAGACGAACACCGTAGCTGATTTCCCTGTACCCAGACGATCAGTTTACTTTCCATGAAAAAGCATTGGATTTTGAATGTTTATAGGCACTAGGTGTCTGAAACCAATTAAACTAAACACAAAATAGAAGGTTACTAACATATTTTGAGTTCTTACTATGGGTTATTGAGGCACGTGGCCAACTAATTTACTTACATTTAATCCTTACAATAACCTGTGAGTTAGGCATTGAAGAGGTAACTCTTTAAGACAAGAATGAACATATGTAAACAATATTATAATTCCTGTTTAGATGAGGTACTAAAGAAGTGTTGGTTTATGCCAAACATTAATGGTTGTTTATTGATTCTTTGTTCTTAGTTACCTAAAGAGTGCTGAATTCATTATGTGATGGAAGGAAGAAAGTGCTCTGCTTGGTACTTCACATACCTGGCCAGATCGCAATGAAATATTATATCTTATATCTGTTTTACATGTTAAGAAATAGACTCAGAGAAACTTGCATGAGATTGTTCGTTTGTTTGACAGATGTTTTCTGATGTCTCTGTGACTTACCAGGTTTTTTTCCAAGGTTTATGGTAGTCAACCAAAGGTACATGATTCCTATCATAATGGAACTTATTCCACTGGGGGGAAAATTACTTCAGCAAATGAAACAGGCAAGTTCATACAGGCAGGAAGTGTTGGGTCCTAAATTCAGCTCAGGTCTTCTGAATCCAAAATATGTGCTTTCTACAATACCATGCTAATGCTTACGCCACCATTTTGCTTATATTTATTTTGCAGTTTTTAAATGAAGTATGCTTTATTCTTGCCACAGAAATGAGATGCAGTGAAGAAATAATCATTACTTGCCAAATGTACATTTACATTTACCTCTGTCCTTGTTTTATTTTTTCTCTTTTTTTATTTCCCGATAGGATTGCTGTGAGTCAGAATTGACTCCATGGCAGTGAGTTAGTTATCTCAGTATAGCCTAGGGGCCAAGATCCCCTAGTGTTCTTTGTTCTTGTGTGGAAGACTAACAGACTAAAGAGTGTGAATTATAGCAGCTGCCTAGTCATAGAATTAAAGGAACTCAGTAAATGTAACATCTTTTTACCACTTTTATTGCTTTTAATTTTTCAGATTTTATTTTAAATTTTAGCAATGATAACCACATATGAAGCTATCTTTTACTGCAAGCAGCAAATAGAAAAACCTATTAGTACGTCAAGATTGAAGTTAACTGTAAATTACAAATGAGTCATTTAACCCATTGTCTTTAGTTGCTTCCAACTGATAGCTACGCAGTGTGCCAGAGTAGAACTATCCCACAGGGCTTCCCGACTGTAACTCCATAGGGATGCAGACTACCACATCTTTCTCCCGAGGGGCAGCTGGTGGGTTTGAACCACCAGCTAATTTTTCAGTTAACAGCAGATTGTTTAAATACTATGCCACCAGGACTCCTTTAATATGTGCAAGTAAGAATCTTTTTAAAAACATAATTTTAAAATCTCCAAAAGAAGTGAATTAGGAAGTTTATGCATATATACCCCACCCCCACCCCATTGTTGTTGTTTTTGGGCATACCTACCTCTTTTTTTTTTTACCTACCTCTTTTTTATGCCCTAGTTTTAGAAGAAAAGTATTTGGGATGAATTTGGTAGGATGCAAGGTAAGATAAAACAAATGAGTAACTATACTTAGTTTTTAAGGAGCCCTGTAGTATTAAATAAAATTGAAACTTGGGGGGTGAGGTGCCAGCCCCACCCGGTACTAGAACTCGCTGGTTTAGTAATACTACTTCTGGGTTCAGTAATGCACAATTGTACAGTTGAGATATATAAGCATTATATTAAAGTCATCGAGAGCATGAGAGATAATACAATAATACAGTCAGGCATGATACATAGCAACATTGCTCACCTCAGCCCGGCTTGATGTTTCTCGTGGAGGGGGCTTAGCCGTCAGAGAAGAAGCCGCTGCTTCATCCTCCTTAGTCACCTTCTCCAGCTACCCTCCCAAGTACCAGGGAGCCTCGTTATTTATTGCTAACCATGCATCATAGAGTCATACATCACAGAAAGGGGCAATACAATTCATCCTTGAACAGGTTTGATCATTCTGGTGTCTCATACAATAAAGCAGGCAGTTATTATCCTGGGAGGCATGCAAGCCCCCAGGTAGCAGATAATAACCTACGTCATAGAGAGGGGTTGTAACATAGGCAATACAAGCAATAGGAGGGGGATGACCTAGGGGCGAATGTGCTATAGTAGCCTAAGCTTAGTCATCTTAGAGTGGTCCCAGGCTTGCCTATGGGCACTGCTTCGAGGGAACAATAACAGAAAGGAATGGGCCCTATTTGGGGTGAGTCAGACCTACAGTTTGGCCGCTCTAGATGGCCGATGTTGGGGAGAATAACCTCTGAACTACTTTCGCTGCCTAAAGAACAGTCATTCCCAAGCAGCTAAGTTTGGTACATATTTTGGGGAGACAGCTTAAGAGAAATCCTTCTGTTCCTCACAGAGCCCTACAAGGTTGGTGGTTCACACCAGCCACTGCAAGGGAGAAAGTGGAGTCTGTCTGCTTCAGCAGAGATTTACACCCTTGGAAACTCTGTTGCTGTAGGATCACTATGAATTAGAATAGACTTGGTGTCATGGGGCATTCTTATATTTTTTCTTCTTTCTAATCTCTTTAATCTTTTAATTACTATTTTTGGAGGGGGGTAGAAGGGCTTCAATCATAGGGGAACCACTTGCATTTCCCCACTAGGAGAAAAAAAACCCAAAACACTGAAAAACTAATTGCCATTGAATTGATTTGTGACTCATTGCAACCCCATGTGTTTCATAGTAGAACTGTGCTCCATAGGGTATTTTCAGGGTTAGATCACTAGACCTTTTGTCCAAGGAACCTCTGGGTGTTCAGTTATTAGCCACTTAGTCATTTATATCATCAGGGACTCCCCAGTATCTCCATGTTGTTGTGACTTGTTGGTTTTGACTCACAGTGACCTTATACACAACAGAACAAGACACTGTCCAGTCCTACACCATCCTTGCAATCATTCCTGTGAGTCCATTGTGAAAGGCACTGTACAGTCCATCTCATTGAAGGCCCCCTCTTTTTTTGCCGACCCTCCACTTTACCAAGCATGATGTCCTTTTCCTGGGCTTAGTCTTTATTGGTAACATGCCCAAAGTACATGGGATGGTGTCTGTAACATCATAATTCAAGTGCATCAGTCTTTCTCCAATAGCAGAGATAACACTTTGAGGACCCCAGACATGGCATTTTCATTTGCCTCATCTGTGTGTAAAAGTTGGACATTGAAGGAAAAAAAGACCAAAGGAGAATCAATTTATTTGAGTTATGGTGCTGGTGAAGAATATTAAAAGTGCCATGAACTGTCAAGAGAACAAACACAGCTGTCTTGGAAGAAGGACAGTCAGAATGCTTCTTAGAAGTGAAGATGGTGATAATTTGTCTCATGTGCTTTGGATATGTTATCAGGAGGGACTGGTCCCTGGAAAAGAACGTCATGCTTGGTAAAATAGAGGGGCCGGGAAAAGGGGACAGCCATTGATGAAACATATTGAAACAGTGCCTGCAACAATGTTGTTGCAAGCATAACCATTTTGAGGATGGCTCAGGCAATGTATTATATGTTACACGTAATATCATTATGAGTCAGAACTGCTTGGACAATAAAACCGCATTTATTCATTGTCAGTTTTATCTTGCATATTGAAAATACCATGGCTTGGTTCAAGTGCACCTTCGTCCTCACAGTAACATCTCGAAGAGTTATTTTCTAGATTTGTCCAATGCAATGTGTTTGATTTCTTGACTGCAGCTTCCATGAGTGCTATTAGTGGATCAAAATAATAATGAAATTCTTAACTTCTATCTTTTCTCCATGAGCTATTTGTGGTTCACTTGTGAGGATTTCTGTTTTCATTATATTAAGTTGAAATCCATACTTAAGACTGTAGTCTTTGATCTTCATCAGTAAGTTTTTTAAGTCCTCTTCAGCAAGTAAGGTTGTGTCATCTGCATATCATAGGTTGTTATTTTAATCTTGATGTTTTAACTTCTTTATAAAAACCAATTTCTGGGATTATTTGCTTAGCATACAGATTGAATAAAAATGTTAAAAGGCTACAACTCTGACACATACCTTTCCTGATTTTAATCCACACAGTATTCCCTTGTTCTGTTCCAATGACTGCATCTTGGTCTACAAAACAGGTTCTGCATGAGCACAATTAAACGCCCTCTGAGATTCTCATTCTTCACAGTGTTGTCTGGAGTTTGTGTTGATCCACACAGTTGAATGCCTTGCACAGTCAATAAAACACAAGCAAACCTTGTTCTGGTATTCTCTGCTTTCGGCTAAGATCCCTCTGATATCAACAGTATCTACATCCTCTTCTGAATCTGGCCTAAACCTCTGTCAGTGTACTGCTGCAACAGTTGTTGGGTGATCATCTCCAAAATTTTACTTGCGTGTGATATTGCAGAAATGGTGCAGAGGCTGCCTCTGACCTCCTCTGACTTCACAAGGATTCAGAGGAGAGGTAGCCCAAGGCCTATGTTTTCTTTGAGTCCAAGATCAGACATGCCTCTACCTGCTAACCCTTTTGGCCCTATTCTGAAAAACTGCCTCTCCTATTGCACTCTACTTCTCTTTTGAGTTCAGTAATCCCTCAGTGACCACACACACCTCACAGACAATGCTAAATGATTATGGGGGGTTATTAGGGAAGTTAAAAGGTCAGTATCAGTTCTTTTTTCTTGAAGCATCTCCTCTCTCTCTCATGCCTACCGGAATACCTGACTGGTCCTTTCCATCTGTCCTGCTCAAGAAAGTATTACAGGATCTTTGACATGCTTCATTTGTGGCTTTTCTTTCTTAATAGTTGTGGGATTCTCTGTTCTCCTTAGATGGCTCACTTTTTACATGGCGGAAGGGCAAAACTGTTCAATCCTCATTTTAGAGTCCTCTACACTTTATTTGTGTACTCCTACTTAGTTGACTATTTGGTGGGAGTTACAAAGACTATTTGGGAATTGTAGATGAGCCATACCAAGCAATTTCACTTGACTGCAAGTTTATTAATGATACTGTGATAACTTCCATATTATTCTTGAGTCGCCTTTCTTTGGAATGAGCACAGGATGAATCACTTCTGGTTGGTTGGCCAGGTAGGTGCCTTCCAAATTTCCTGTATAGAAGAGTGAGTGCCTCCAATACCACATCAGTTTGTTGAAACATTGCAATTTGTATTCCATTGGTTCCTGGAACCTTGTTTTTTGCCTGTGCATGTAGTTCAGCTTCCTTCAGTACCATTGGTTCTTGATCATATGCTACCTCTTGTGTCTTCATATGCCCCCCCACACTCTTTCATCGTTTCCTATGATGATAAAAATTACCATCTTTTGAAAATATATGCCACTTGTTTTTTATTTCTTGTCATTTGGCTTCTGTTCTTACCACAGAGACTTTATAACACCAAGTTCAGTACTTTTTCCCTTCGGGTCATGTTTTTTTTTGTCTTTTAATAACATTGACCAGAGACAGCTCCCTTTATTCGTCTCCAGTACTATGGCTGTTTCAGTATCCTTCCCCCAGAGTAATAACTTTTCTTCCACTTCACTCCAACCTCTCTCCCCACATCTTTTGACAGATATTAAGTCAGAATTCAAGTAACCTGTAAATTCCTGCTGGATTGCAAGATATTATGTAAGGGGGGGCGGCTTTAAAACAGGGAATAATTCCATTATTTCCACGAACCTTTTGAAAAGCCCCCTCATATGGTTGCTGCAGTATACAAAGACATAAGCTTGGTGTCTTGTAGAGGAGGTGTAATGTAGAGACTGGCTTATTGCATGAAGAAGGTACGGAGAAATTACATATACAGGAAATATAATTTGAGGAGTGCAGGGGTTACCAAGGAATGTCTTTCTTGAAGCCTCTTTTTTATTTTCTGTGACACTGGGATTATTACTCTGCAGACCACATTTCTTCTTTTGCATAGCTGGCTTTCTGTTAGTTGCTGGTGGGGGGAATCCAGAGGGAGAGCGCAAGGCTGGAGGTAGAAGAAAGGACTTTTCTCCTTCCTGTAGCTTCCTATTGACTTCCAGTTCCCTTTGAGCAGCCCACCAACTTGTCTTCACATGAGCCTCAGGAACTTAATCCTGTTTGTTGTGTCCCTTAGTCCCAACCTTGTATGCACTCCATTCTCAGGTGTGGGACCAAACTGTATATGTCAGCTTGGGGTGACCTTACTACCGCTAGCTGATCTGTGCTCCATTTTCAGAGGTTACGCCACAAAGCTTCTAAGTTTTACAAATTCTTGCCCCTGTGCCCTCAGTTCTAGACTTGTTGGTTGCTTCTTGTAGTTGACACCACCATAATCGCTTGTGTTTCCTTTGCCTTTTCAATGAACAACTCAGTGGAACGCTGGGTGACAGCACAACTGCAGTGTACCACTGTGGTTCACAAGACTGTAATCTTCATGGAAGCAGTTTGCTGCTGCCTTGTCCTGTGGAGCCAGCTCATGAGTTCAAACCACCAACCATCTGGTTCAAATCCAGTTATTACTTAACCCACCATGCCTCCAGGCCTCCTAGCTTAATGACCGATTCTTTTTAAAGTGAGGAATGTGTGTGTGTGTTAGAGAGTATGCCAAGCATTATTTTCCCCACAGAAGATTCAGAAAATACTCTTGAATACAGTAGTGAATATGAAATATTAAAGCAGTCTCTATTTTCAAATTTGGTGAAACAAGAAGATAGAAGGTTATTATAAG